CAATCTTTTCACGAAGCCAAAGAAGGAGCCGAGCTGGTCAGCGGTTTCATGTTCGGCGTTTGGACATTGGGCGGAAGGAGGGGTCTGGCTCTGGACCTCTGCTTAGTGCGACTGCTTGCAGCAGTGCGTCCTACGGGGGAGGCTCCACCTGCTCGAAACAGGCGCCAAAAACGGCCAAGATCTACTCCATAGGTCGGCGGTGGACAAACCTCCCTTTAATAAACCGCCCCTTAGTGAAAACGGCCTGGGACCGAAACCGACGGACCCGGACCCGCAACAATGCCGGCCGCGACGCCCTCTCGCGAACCGAAAACGGCCGATTCCTCAATCGACGTGCCAGGGCAGGAGGTCTGTCCAACCCCGAAGCTGGTCAGAACTGAAGGGGCCCCAGGACACACAAAAAAAACATACAAATAAACAGATTCCGCATATTTTCCCATATTTTCTGGGTTTCTGTCTTCCCCCCCACTTCCCATATTTTCCCATATCTTCTGGGGAATCGAGGATTAATTGTGTCGGTGTATTCCTTTTCCTCCTGAAGAGCATCCCGGCAGCGAGTGCCGCGAGCATGCCCAAAGAGAGCAGGGGCCCCGAGTGCCGGCGGGCTCCCAGGGATGGGCTCGCCGCACGAAGAGGGGGCCTCCGGGAGGAGAAAGGCGAGAGCACGGAGGCGGCCCAGAGGGCCGAGAAGCCGAAGAGACACGGCGACCATCAATCAACGCAGAGGGCCGAAGAAGAGGAAGAAGGCCACGAAGGCCACGAATGATAACATAATGAACTGAAGAAGAAGAAGAAGAAGAAGAAGAAGGCCGAAGAAGAAAAAGAAAAAGAAGAAGAAGAAGCTGAAGAAGAAGGCCACGAAGGCCACGAATGATGACAGAATCCACGGAGCGACCATCGAAAACGGGTCGTGCGCGAGGTGACGCGGCGGCCTCAGGCCGCGGCTCCCGCGGGCCGCTGGCACGGCACGCTACAGAAGGCGCTCGCGCGCGGCCCTGCGCGGGCAGCTTCCGCGCCCATGTCGGAGAAGACGACCCCTTTTTCTTGGCGTCGCTCAACTGGCTCTCGAGCGAGGTCATGAACCCTTTTTTTTGTTACCTAGCAGCGAAGACTGATAGGTTTCTAGTGGTGTCAAAAGAGAGCATCTGATGACTCAGAAGGGAGGTCTGGGCGGCATCCGGACAGCGAGGGCCGGGCTCAGGGCCGGGCTCGTTTTGAACAACAATCACATACTTCGTGCTCTTCGACCTCCCAGAACTCCATTCCCGGGCCACATTTTGAATGCCCGAAGCCAACTGTAGGCCACTTCGTGCTCTACGACTTCCCAGAACTCCATTCCCGGGCCACATTTTGGATGCTCGGAGCCAACTGTAGGCCACTTCGTGCTCTTCGACTTCCCAGAATTCCATTCCCGGGCCACATTTTGGATGCTCGGAGCCAACTGTAGGCCACTTCGTGCTCTTCGACTTCCCAGATCTCCATTCCCGGGCGACATTTTGGATGCCCGGAGCCAACTGTAGGCCACTTCGTGCTCTTCGACTTCCCAGAACTCCATTCCCGGGCCACATTTTGAATGCCCGGAGCCAACTGTAGGCCACTTCGTGCTCTTCGACTTCCCAGAACTCCATTCCCGGGCCACATTTTGGATGCTCGGAGCCAACTGTAGGCCACTTGTGGTCTTCGAGTTCCCAGAACTCCATCCCGGGCCACATTTTGGATGCCCGGAGCCAACTGTAGGCCACTTCGTGCTCTTCGACTTCCCAGAACTCCATTCCCGGGCCACATTTTGGATGCTCGGAGCCAACTGTAGGCCACTTCGTGGTCTTCGAGTTCCCAGAACTCCATTCCTGGGCAGGATTTTGACTGCCCGGAGCCAACTGTAGGTCACTTCGTGTTCTTCGAGTTCCCAGAATTCCATTCCCGGGCCACATTTTGAATGCTGAGGCAGGCTGAGGCTGAGGCTGGGGCAGGCTGAGGCTGAGGCAGGCTGAGGCTGAGGCCGAGGCTGAAGGCAGACTGAGGCTGAGGCTGAAGCAGGCTGAGGCTGAGGCTGAGGCAGGCTGAGGCTGAGGCTGGCAGGCTGATGCTGAGGCAGCTGAGGCTGAGGCTGAGGCTGATGCAGGCTGAGGCTGAGGCAGGCTGAGGCTGAGGCCAAGGCTGAAGGCAGACTGAGGCTGAGGCTGAGCAGGCTGAGGCTGAGGCTGAGGCTGAGGCTGAGGCTGAGGCTGAGGCTGAGGCTGAGGCTGAGGCAGGCTGATGCTGAGGCAGGCTGAGGCTGAGGCTGAGGCTGATGCAGGCTGAGGCTGAGGCAGGCTGAGGCTGAGGCCGAGGCTGAAGGCAGACTGAGGCTGAGGCTGAAGCAGGCTGAGGCTGAGGCAGAGGCAGGCTGAGGCTGAGGCTGAGGCAGGCTGATGCTGAGGCAGGCTGAGGCTGAGGCTGAGGCTGAGGCAGGCTGAGGCTGAGGCAGGCTGAGGCTGAGGCCGAGGCTGAAGGCAGACTGAGGCTGAGGCTGAAGCAGGCTGAGGCTGAGGCTGCAGGCTGAGGCTGAGGCTGAGCAGGCTGAGGCTGAGGCAGGCTGAGGCTGAGGCTGAGGCTGAGGAGGCTGCTGAGGCAGGCTGAGGCTGAGGCCGAGGCTGAGGCAGACTGAGGCTGAGGCTGAGGCTGAGGCTGAGGCTGAGGCTGAGGCTGAGGCTGAGGCTGAGGCTGAGGCTGAGGCAGGCTGAGGCTGAGGCTGAGGCAGGCTGAGGCTGAGGCTGAGGCTGATGCAGGCTGAGGCTGAGGCAGGCTGAGGCTGAGGCCGAGGCTGAAGGCAGGCTGAGGCTGAGGCTGAAGCAGGCTGAGGCTGAGGCTGAGGCAGGCTGAGGCTGAGGCTGAGGCAGGCTGATGCTGAGGCAGGCTGAGGCTGAGGCTGAGGCTGATGCAGGCTGAGGCTGAGGCAGGCTGAGGCTGAGGCCGAGGCTGAAGGCAGAATGAGGCTGAGGCTGAGGCTGAGGCAGGCTGAGGCTGAGGCTGAGGCTGAGGCTGAGGCAGGCTGCTGAGGCTGAGGCTGTGACTGCGACTGCCGTTGCCACTGCGACTGTCATCGCGAATGCGACTACGACTGCGAGAACAGCAGAATTCTACAACTGGGTTCTCATCCGAATCTTAAGGGGAATGCCTCCAGATATGCTCCTACACATCGCTGTTAGGTTGCTTTGCCGGGATATATATATAATATATATATATATATATATTGGGGGGGGGGGGGGGGGGGCGGGGCGCGCGCGCGGGAAGAGCCCGGGGAGGCTACGAGCTGGGAGACCCGCGTGAGGTGAGGGAGGGGCGGCTACTGCGGGCGGCGCGCGGCCTCGGGCCGCGCAGCGCTTGCCTGGGGAGCCAGGGGTTGCCTTCGGAGCAATGCGCAACGCAGCGGGAGGAGGAGCGAAGTCATGAACCTCGTGAGCTGCGTCACGTGTGGCTGCGACGCGCTGGTGGCACGGTGGCGCTGGGGCTTGGCGGTCGGCGCGCCTGGAAGTTATGCGGGCTCCGCTCCCTCATCCATGCTACGGTCGGACCTGGGACAGAAGAGCATCCTTCCAGAATATCAGACCATGCGCCGGCCAAACTCAAGAACATTCGATGGTACCCCATCCAGGATGCACAAGAACATCCAACAAACACGAGAACATCAATATAACCTCCCCGAGCCGACCTCGATCTTACACCTCGGCCCGACCGTACGAGGGTGGCGAGATTGAGAGTATCTCTGCGTGTGTGGGTTGCGGATGCGCATGCTCGTACCTCATATGCTAGGCCTGGAGAGCGAGGCTTCCGAGGGGGATTTCGTAGGCGGCGCGTCGGTGGCGGACTCCGACGTCGAACCTGACTCGAGGCACCGGCTTGATGAGGTCGCACTTGGGCAGCATCTGCTACAAACATCGGTCGCCTCCCTGGCCAGCATGGTCAAGGAAAGGCCGGCAATGAGTGCCGCAAAATGTCCAGCTACGAAGGCATCGACAACCAAACGCACCCTCAGCTTCGACAGCGACGGCGGCGACGTCACGAAGGCTCCCACGGGCTCGCAGGTGGACGGCTTCCCAAAGAAGCTGCCAGAACACGAGAAGTTCGCCCCGGGGTTGGGCCAGCCCGCCCGGGGAGACGTCCCTCACCGCCGTTCCCTCTTCGGGCGCGGTCCACACCCCACGCGAACGCTCGCCGCGCTCAGCATCGTTTAACCGATCCCTATCCCCACTGGCGTGGCCTGGGCCCCACTGGCCGATTTACCCCCGAGATGGGGATACAGGCGGCTCCCTTCGGGCTTCGAGAGGCATATCCCCAACGGGGGTGGTGGGATGGTGGGGATCGGGATGGGGATGGGAATGGGGATAGGGATCGGCTAAACGATACTGATGCACGGCGCCAGTCCACACGGTGAGTCGTGAGTCCTCTGCCAGTCACACGCTAGAAACGCCTCGGGCTCCTGCACTTAGTGTTAGGTCGGGCATGTCCCCCTACAGGCGGATTTTGAAAGAAAAATGAAACATACCCCAAACATGTTCCAAAAATGGTCAAACCATTTTCGGAAACCGTTACCCGACGATTTGTTTGACTATCTTTGAACATTCCTCCTGTGGAAGGACGTGCCCGACTTACACTTGGTGCCTGGCTCCCGGCCCGCAGAGGAACGGGTCGCGCGCGCCGTTTGTAGGCTGGCGCCCAGGGCGGACCCCGGCCGCACTCGGTGTGTCTCTTTTTTGCAATGGTTCCCCCTCTCTCTCTCTCTTTCCTCTCTCTCTCTCTCTCTCTCTCTCTCCTCTCTCTCTCTCTCCTCTCTCTCTCTTTCCTCTCTCTCTCTCTCTCATCTCTCTCTCTCTCTCTCTCTCTCTCTCCTACTGACCCCTGATCCTAGTCTTCGGGTACCCGACGCACCCAAAGGGGACCGAAGCCCGCCGACCACTCCCCCGACCCGCCCCCCCCCCGCTGTGCTGCAAGCGCGGGCCGTTGAGCCACAGCCCTGGCGCCTTCGGTGCCGATGTGATCCATCCAGCCTGGGGCCGTCGCCCCTACAGTGCGGGCGCGGCCGCAAGAAACCCTCGCAAGACACCCGACCCCGAAAACCCGCGCGCGAGGTGCACCTGAGGGGGAAACCCAGAGCACCCGGAACGCACCAGCTTCTTCAACGGCTGCGGGGAGTCACCGCGCAGCTCGCGGAGCGAAGAAACCCGGGATGCCCTGACGAAAATCAGATGGCTTCTTGATGCGCACCCCCACTGTATTGTGAGGGGCAGGGCCGCCATCCGAAACAAACTGGCAAGCTCTCTAATGTTTTTTTTTTTTGGAAAGGCCGAACGCGACCAGGCCTTCCCTGCCTTCTGGCACCTGGAACGCCTGCCGGTTTGCTCGCGTGGCCCCATGCCCCTCAGACAGGCGGGGGCCCCAACGGGCCTAGCAGAAAGCGCAGCATGCGCACCTTCGCCCAGCAGTCCGACGAGTCGGTGCTCAGCCCGATGTGGTCGACCACGAGCCCGTTCTCAAGCGGCACGGACCCGCCCTCCGCCGCCCGGCTGACCGCCCTCCCGCGGTCCTGGGGGAAGAGGGGGAGGAGGAGGAGGAGGAGGATTTTTAACGTGGACCTTTCCCTGGGAGTACCAGGCGAACAGAGCCCACGAGGGCACCGCTGATAGACCTGGGCGGTGGCCCACGCACAAGCGAGAAACACCCCCAGGCACAAAAACAACAGGTCAGTCCGAGTCATCGGAGACGAAAGACCTGTCGCGGGCAGCTTGATTCAGCGGAGCCACACCATCCTCCCTTTGGAGGCTCTGCTGCACCGCAAACTACTGCCCTGCCTCCCCTTCTCCTCTTGTGGGGGGGGGGATGAGAGGGGCCAAGGAGGAGATCAGCCGCCTCCTCCTCGGCCGAAAAGTCAAGAGCCCTTCCCGTGTGCCTTGGCGCGGAAGTCGCGCCGTGGCCTGGGTCGGGACTGCACAGATGCGGAGTGCCTTGGCCAACAGCGACGACAGGACGCGTAGACAACGACGACGGAACAGACGGCTCAGACGACGGGTCAACGACATCTCCTTGCTGCTGGCCTGGCTCGTGAACACTTGGATCCTCCTCGGGGGAAACCTCGAGGAAGACCCCGTCCTTCTTAGGATGCTTACAGTTGCAAATCCTGTACTCCCACCGCTCAGTATTGTTCCGAGTGGGATGAGTGCAAGGCTTGCTCAAGAGCGCCAGAGGCCCAAGAGTGGAAACAGCCTTGCACGAAACGCACACAAAGAGCGGGGAGTCGTCACTACACTGGAATGATATGAGCCTATGCCCAAAGGAACTGACCCTATCAAAGCATTCAGGGACCGAACCAGAGCATCCAGAAACCTCAGGACAGGGCGATTCTCCAAAAACAAACGCACCTTGTCGCTTGATACGAAGGCAAACTTTGCAACGCCAATATGTGTGGCACCATTCCCATTCGTGAATGAAAATGGTGGGTGGGGCGGGCTTGGGGGGCTTGGGATCTTTGTGCAACCCTACCCCGCTGAGGTCGAGCTTAGGCCACAGCGGCAGGAGACGAGCCCCAAGACGCGCCACCGCCTTCGAAACCGATATCTTAAACGACAAATCTTCCTGCTGCTCCGAGGTGGGAGCAGGATGGAGGGAGAGCCCAGCCTTCGCCGCAATGTCCGCGGCGTCATTGCCTTTCTTGAGAAAGGCTTGGAGAGGGGTCAAGCTGTCGCTCTCGACGACGTGAGCCTTGACCTTAATCACTTCCTCCCATGGGGCGCCCATGGAGGTGAACACCATGCCTGAATAGGGCCGCTTATAAGATAGTTGTGCGGACCTGGGCCCCCCAAAGGCTCGGACCACATTGGAGCAGTCAGAGTAAACCTTAGAAGGACCAACGATACACTGAGAAGCGGCGTCAAAAGCTCCGAATTCAGCAGCCTGGCTGGTTTGGGGCAGAGGAGCCCACATAGGACCATAAACAGAGGCACGAAGGGATCCATCATCAGACAGGGCTATAAACCCCCAGCTCGCTCGGGATAATTCCTCAATAATATGCTTCCTACAACTGCCATCGGTGGAAATATCCCCAGATACGTCTGCATCAAGCCTGGGGGGTTCCTCGGCCCAGGAAACCACCACGCCCCCATCCGCGCGAGGTCTGGGCCAAACGTCTCCAGGGTGCTGGAAAATACCTCAGGTGAACAGCACTACAGAGGCCGCACACGCAGGGTCAATGGCTCGGGCAGCTTCCTGGATGTCGCTTTTTTACCAGCTCGTCTCTTGTGTCTTGAACCGCGGGGCAGTGCCACAAACGATGAAGAATAGAATCAGGGGTTGCCCGACAAAGTGGGCATAGATCAGAGTCGAGCTGGTAACCACAGGATATAGCGCGATCGAGCGTCCAGGCAGCACCGCAGCACATGCCACGCATGCACCCCTTCTCCAGGGCAGAGTTCTTGGACGACCGAAGGGAGGCCTCCACAACGTCGTAGCAGAGGCGGTCCTGCAGGCCTAAACTACGTCCTGAATCACGTTGGAGCTGCCTCAAGACCCCCTCCCGAAGGGATTTTTTGACAAGGGCGGGGGAAAGGGTCGTCAAACCTAAAACTTCACCAAAATCATTAACAAGCTCGGTAAACGAACGCATAGACCACCCAATACGATCAAGAGAGAGCTTCATAGCCCCAATGGGGCCCCGAACAGTCCTCCAGGTAAGTTTGGCCCGCCTAGGATGCCCTTCAAGGGCAGCCTGGAAGACGGCCTCCCAAGAGGCCCGAAGGTCCCGAAACGACAGAGGGAGTTTGAAAATCCGAACTTGATTAGCCCAAATCTCCTCGGAGTAGCGAATAACTGGAAGAACCGCAGCGTGCCGGCAGGGATCTCCCTCCAATATCAATGATGCCGTGAGACTCCTCATAGCCGCCGTCGGCTTGAGGACGCGACCAAGCCCGCGGCGAAACCCAACGATATCATAATCAGATACCCCATGGATTTCACTTCCGTAGGAGGCCCCAACGAGGGGCCCTGCAGTGAAAATACGTTTGGAATGTCGTTGGCCGAGAACAGAACGAACCCGCTTCAGCTTCGCCACTCGAATCTTGAAAGACTTGAGGCGCTGTCGAGCTTTAACTCCGCGGCCCGCCTGCCTCCGCGGCCTGCCAGCAGTGTCGTCGACCCCTAAATTCACAGCCGTGCTCGTGCCTGGATTGACTCCTCCTAGACCTTCCAGCAGATCACGCACCTTGGAACCGACAACCTGAGAAGAGCATACCACGGAGGCTTTCTCGATGGAAACGATGCTCTTCATATCATCGGTGAGCACGGCGTGAAGCTGGGAGGCACCATGCAAAATATCTGAAACTACCGAGCGCTCGCTGCCAGTGGCCTGCAAACCGTAGTCGCCAATATAAACATCAAGAGACTCCCTGACCGACGGGGCGAGGAGGTCGATGCTGGGTATGATGCAGGCCCGAACGAACGAGGTGGCAAACGAATCTCCAGCCACAACCCCGCACTGAGCGAAATAGGGGCCCTGAACCATGCCACCTATAGAGATCCAACGGGGCCCTCGATACATCGTGATAGCCAGACGGGAGATGGGGGCAGGGAATCCCAGAAGATCACATCTCTTCTGGAGCAGTCCAAGGTCGACGAGCTCGTAAAACTTGTGTAAATCCCATAAGACAGAGCAGGCGACACCTGACCCGCGCGAGCCAGTAGCAAACTCAGAACGCACGGCCTGGCGCCAGACAACGTCGGCAGCGCCAGTGAAAGCACCCGCCGCGAGGTACGGGCGAGCCAAATCGTCCTCCCAAAAGACAGCGTAAGGACGACGCAAGCGACCAAAAAGCCGATACGACGACGCGAACAGACCACTGGGCCTCCATCCCCCCACCTGCTTGGGCAAGAGAGCGATCATGAGGGACCGAACGTGGTGGGGGACGACGGTGGTAGACCCCATGATACTGAACATCGACATAAGAACGATGAGGGCACCATCGGACATCGCGGCGTAGTGTCTCATGTGGAATCCATCCACACTGATAGCTGTCCCCTTCGGGTAAGACCTTGAGACTCTCCGAAGCTCTTCGGGCGGCGCAAAAGGAAGCGGGTCCAAGTACGCCTGAGTCAGGGCCCCCGTGGGAGACGATTTGACCCAACTAGATTTCGAGCCTTTGTCGGGCGCAGGCGGGGACGAGGGATAGAAGCGAAGGGGGGGCTCACTGCCCGCCTTCCAGAGACCGCTGAAACGAGCGGCCTCAGACTGCAAGAGAGACTGAGGATCCGACAGCACCAGGCCCCCCGACGACAAAGTAGTGGTAGGGCGCCAGGGGCCCCGATCACGGGCCCACCAGTGGACCTCACGGCCTCCAGAGGATATACCGTCCAGGAGCCACGCCCTCCAACTCTTATCCGCAGCAGCCCTCTCCTTACTAGAGAAAACCCCAAGGAAGACCGAAACCCGTTCCAGAAGATCAGCTCCCTTGGTAAACAACGGATTTTGAGCAGCCTCCTGAGGCTCGTAAGCAAGGGGTCCCTGGCAACAAGAGGGGGGCCGAGATTCAATACACTGGTCGACAAACTGAACAACCTGAACATACAAGTCAGAAAAATCACCAAGATTCCTGGTAATGTTGTCGGGGGGGATCCTTCAGGAAAGAGGCAGTGCGCAGGGCTGATCCTCTCGTGCACTGCTGCTGGAAGGCGTCTCCAAGGAAGATGCGGAACGTGCTCTCCAAGCACCTGACCGCATGCGTGCCTGGTTGACGTGCTACTCTATTGTCCTTGTCGAGAACCGATGTCCAAGCAAGTTTGGGGAGGCGCCCTCGGGGCCCCAAAACGGGCAAAGAAACTTGACGATCCGCAACCAACTCCAACTCAGCTTTATCAGCCCGGAGCCGATAAAGGCGATTGAGATGCTTTTGTATGGAGCCTCTGGAGGCCCCTTGTCTAGCTAACCCAAGACCGTGCTGAGCGCAGTCGAGCCCCTCGTCCCAGCTCGGAGGCTGCGGCGCAGGCCCGATTGCACACTCAACAGGGATGGGAGGGGGCTTTGCAAACCCCAAGGCCTGCAACTGAGCGATCTGGGGAAAGAACGCGATACGAGCAGGCTTGTGCGGCTTCGTGGCCGCCTCTAGTACCAAATCCGTGCTCCGAATGGCCTTGGCCAAGCCAATCGAGACGATGAAATAGTCGAGCATCCGAACTCCCTGAGTCGAAGTGCCCGCGCAGGTTCCTGCAACGTCTGGATAAACTATGTTCGCAGGCAGGGTGCTCACAAGCTCCGACGATGCAAGAACTTCTGGCTCCATCTGGAAGTCCGCCCCTACCACAAAAGAGCCTTGGCGTGAAGTCAACAAGGCGCCGATAGTCGAGAGCAGACCAATATTCCTTTCAGATAAACCCTCCGAATCTTTCAGGTGAGCGCTGACGGCCAAGAACTCGACTCCTCCTGGAACCTGGACGACAGCAGATGCAACTCTATGAGGGACAACACACGGACCGTTCGAAGAATCGTGTAATCCCAGATACTCACGAGCCAGGATAGCAACCCCACCAGAAGAGCCCTGACCATCTCCCCTGGAGGCTGGCAGAAATCGAGATTTCCAACCTGAGCGGGCGGCCCGCTGAGACGCCTCACTCACCTGGACATCGGTGACCAGGTGAGTCTCCTCAAGCAAAACTACATGAGCGCTGGTCCTGGATAACCAGGCCTTCGCACTACCCCACCCCGTGCAATTTACGGCCCCTAAACGAAGTTCAAAACTGTCCGAGCGAGCTGGGGCCCTGAGACCAGAGCAACATTCCAAGGAGGGGTCCTTGGAGGCGGGTAGGCGAACCAGCCTTGAGACTGCAGGGGAGAGGTCCCCTTCCAAAAAGTTATGACTGGTAGAAAACCCCCTCGCAACCACGAGCCCAGCAGAGGCCCTGACAGGTGGCGAGGGGGAATTAGGCTGAGGCAGTGTCCGCAGCGGCGGAAGGCGGGGCGAGAACGGCACGAGCGCGCTCACGGACGTCAGGGGCGGGGGCCTTAGGCGGTGCCGCGCCAGCTCCACCACCCTCGGGCTGATCCGCGCCACCTCCGTCGCCGCCGCCCTCGGGCGCTGGGGCCGCTCCTCCCCCGCCTGCTCCTCCACTCGGTGCAGTCGAGCCTGGGGCGGCCTGCCTGCCCTCCTGCTGGTCCACCACCTTGCGCTTCTTGGCGATGCGCTTGACATGAGCGGCATGATCAGCTCGAATCTTGTCGATGGATGATACCATGTTGGCGAAGAGGTCCTTCGTGAGAGAGGCCAGCCCCTCCTGAAGTTCAGCGCGACGCTTGTTGAACTCCTCCAAGTCCTGCGGCGACAGCTCGTAGTCGGTGTCATCCAACTTGAGCAGCTCGTCCCCATCAGTGAGGAGGATGGCGTCGGGCTTGCCGTCCAGCACAGCGCGGATACTGATGCCACCAGGAACAGGAGGGGCAGCAGCATGCTCAGGCTGCGGCTGGATGACCGCCTTGTGGAGGCGGGTGACCAAATCCTTGTGAATCTGGTCTTGGGCGTCGAGCTCGGACTGGGCGTCTGACGCCGCCTTGGTGCAGTCGGCGAGCCACTTCTTGGCCCGCTCGAGGCTGTCGAGCTCGCGGGTGAGGCGCTTCTCCAGGATGCGAACCTGCTGCAGCGCCTCGTTGGCCTGTCGCTCCAAGGGCTTCTCGACGGGGCCCTTGGCGGCATCCTGCTTCTGCTTCTTCCAGACCAGATACTGAGACTTCGCAGCCTCGTCGCCAAACTTGGTGGCCATGGACAGCAGCTGCTCGATCTCCCCGAGCGTGACGGCAGGCGGCATGGCTGCGCCCCCCAGAAGAGCGGGTGCCTTGCCTCCTCCACCACTTCGCTGCCATGACTTCTTGGCGCCACCCGCGTCTGATTGGTCACCTTCGTAACGCGGGCGGCGGCAGTGCTTGCACCACGTGAACCAGCTGAGGTTCTTGGCGCAGCCGCAATCAGGATGTGCACACTTCCACCTCTGGGATTCGCCTCCCGAGTCTCGGTGCACTCCGTTGTTCTTGGACGTCCACGACCACTCGCCACCTGCCATGGCTCCGTCGTGCTCTGGGGTCGAAGGGAAACCGAGCCACTGTGGCCCGCGTTCACCCAGCCGTTCTGAATCGTTGGTGAACGCAAACACAAAAACTTGTGCCAGAACGGCTAGGAGGAGGAGGAGGAGGAGGAGGAGGAGGAGGAGGAGGAGGAGGAGGAGGAGGAGGAGGAGGAGGGAGGCCCCGCGATTTCAATGTTGAGGCCGAAAGAAAGGAGCGACGAACAAAAATGACGGGGCTTGCGCAAGATGGCACATCGACCTCACGCCGCAGCTTACGCGGGCCGCCTGCGCGGCACGCCACATTGGAAGCGAGGGCGCTCACTCGTCACCTTACGCGGGCAGCTTGCGCGCCAATGTCCGCGCAGACGACCCCGTTTTTTTATTGCGTCCCTGAAATGACTTCATAGTTTTCGTCGGTGTCCAAAAGCCGAGCCGCGCGCGCGCAGCTGAACATTGAAATTGGGGGCAAAAGGGGTCGGCAAAATGTACTTGAAGTTTCGTGGAGCGTTGCAGGACTCCCGGCTTCGCTTCCGCGGCGCTCGCCGCCCTGTCCCCCTCCCTCCATGGAGATCGGGACGCAGCGACTCAGCCAGGTCATGCAGGTCCTCTTCCTGCCTCCCCCCTGGCGGCTCGTGCGCCCGAGCTCGCAGCCAGGCTGGCCCAGGATACTCGGACTGCCCCCTGGGTTCCTACGAGATCCGCCCCCGCTCGCAAGGTCTCTCGTCATCCTCCTGCTGCTGCTCCTCCTGCGAAGGAGGCAGGGGGAAAAGGGGGGAGGGGGAGGGACAGCGGCGGAGGGTGGAGGCCAAGCAAGGTGAAGGGCAGGGGGCGGGAGAGTGGATAGGGATGGGGTAGAGACCGCGTTTCACGGGCGTTTGCCCTGGGAACATTCGGCGGCGCGTTTCGAACCGGGGGGTGGGACCCCTCCCCCCAACACTCGGCGCCGTTGGTCAAAACCAGAGGGACTCCCCTCTCCCCCAAACCCCCCCCCTTCCGAACCCCGCCCCCCCTTCCAAGGGGGGGAGGGGTTCAACCCCCACCCCTCTCCCAGGGGGAGAGGGGGGGTTCAAATCCCCTCCCCCCCCCTCGGCGCCGGCGCCGGCGCTGGCGGCCGGCGGGGACGCAGCGACGATGACCAGAGGCAGCCCAGGGGGGGGGAGGGGGGGGTTTGAACCCGCCCCCCCTGGCGCAGGGGGATCGCGCCAGCGCCGGCGCTGGCGGCGCCCAGCAGCGCCAGCGCTGGCGCCGGCGACGGCGGGGACGCAGCGACACTCACCACAACTACCACCCCACCACCACCAGCACCACCGCCTCAACCCACCACCACCACCAACAACAGCACCACACAACCACCACCACCACCACCACAGCCACCACCACCACCACAACCACCACCACAACTCACCATCACCACCACCACCACAAAAACCCACCAACACTACCACCGCCACCAATCTACCACCGCCACAACCACCACCACTAACAGCAGCACAACCCACCACCACCACACAAACCACCACACCACCACCACCACCACCACCACCACCACCACCACCACCACCACAACACACGTCCACAAACCACCGCCACCACCACAACCCACCACCACCACCACCACCACACCACACAAACCACCACCACACCACCACCACCACACCACCACCACCACCACAACCACAACTCACCAACACCACCACCACTACCACAAAAACACACCACCACTACCACCACCACCACCACCACAATCTACCAACACCACCACCATCGCCACAACCACCACCACTACCAGCAAGACAACACCACCACCACCACAAACCACCACACCACCACCACCACCACCACCACCACCAGCACCACCTCCACAAACCACCGCCACAACCACAACCCACCACCACCACCACCACCACCACAAACCACCACCACACCACCACCAAACCACCACCACCACCACCACCACCACCACCACCACCACCACCACCACCACCACCACCACCACCACCACCACCACCACCACCACCACCACCACCACCACCACCACCACCACCACCACCACCACCACCACCACCACCACCACCACCACCACCACCACCACCACCACCACCACCACCACCACCACCACCACCACCACCCACCGCCACAACCACCACCACCACCACAACAAACCACCACACAACCACCACCACCACAACCCACCACCACCACCACCTCCGTCGTCCTCGTCGACGCTCCCCGCCACCGCCGCCCGCCGCCGCAGGCGCCTGCGCCAGCCCAGAAATGGAAATCGTCGTCCCCGTCGCCGTCGCCAGCCGCCGCCGACACAAGCGTCGGCCCGAGGAGAGGGGAAGCAGAGGAGGGAGGGGGGGGGGTCTGGTTTCACCCCCCCCCCCCTCCAAGCGACCACAGAAAGCGCTCTTGCGGACGGGGAGGTGGAAGATCAATGTGGTTTCACCCCCCCCCAAGCGACCACAGAACGCGCTCTTCCGGACGGGGAGATGGAAGATCAAGAGGAAGAGAGAGAGAGAGAGAGAGAGAGAGAAAAAAAAACAAAAAAAAAAAAAAAAAAAAAAAAAAACATACCAAGAGGAAGAGAGGGACCAACAAGAAGAGAGAGAGAGAGAGGGAGAGAGAGACCAATAGGAAGTGGATACGGACGGGGAGGAGGACGACCGAGAGGAAGAGAGAGAGAGAGAGGAGGAGAGGGAGTGAAGTAAGGAGCGGGAGCAGGAGCGTAAGCACGAGAGACGGAGAGGGAGGAAAAGGGGATTGTGCTTCATTGCAAATGTCCGTGAGGGTAGGCACAACCCTGTCGATGTCGAGTGGGGTTTATGGGCTCTCCCATCTTTGGAGGCCAGTGTTCGCGAAGCTTGGGCACTCGCACCTTCTGGATATTGGCTCTGGCGCACGGGCCGTGTTCCGCACCTGGGATTTCTGGCCAGTACGAACGTCATGGGCTGTCTTGGGGAAGTCTTGGGAGCCTCTTGGACAATCTTGAGAGCCGCGAAAGTTGCAAAGTCGTACATGCCAGAAATGTACGTTCCCCGATCGGAATTTAATGATTTGGGCCTCTTGGGCCCCTTTTGGGAATGCTCTGGGGGTCCTCCCGGGCCGCGTTGGGCAGCTCGCGGCCGTCTTGCGCCGTCTTGGGGGCCTCTTAGAACCCTCTTCGCTGGCTTTGGCGCCCTCTCGGCCCCTCGGGAGGGGGGGCATCAGCGGGTTTCCCCCGGCGGCGGCGGGGCGGGCCGGCCCGGGCAGGGGGGGCTATTTATGCATATGATGTATATCTGCATCCCATGTTTGTCCGTGTAGCATGCCATCGTTGAATATGTAACCAATGCCTTTCTCGTCGTACATGCGATGCGTCGCCTGCGCGCAGTATGCGTGAATTCTGCGCTACGTCGAAGATCGTCCAGTCCTCTGACGCGCGCCCTGAAGCAGCGCCCCCGACTCGCGGTTGTGGCCGAGGTGCTTTAGGCTTCGGAGCTCCGGGGTCTGCTGGTGGAGGCGGCTCGTCGCCGTCAAAGATCGTCGCGCATTGGTGCTGGTGGTTTTGGGTCGTCGGTGGGGCCCCGATCTTGCGGGGCTCCGTCGGTGCCGGGACTCGCCTGGGATCCAGGGGCGCCTGCCGCGGGATCGTGAGCTTGCCGCGCTCGAACCTCGCGGGGAACGGCCCCGCGCTGGCCGGCGCGGCGCTCGCGCGCCGCCCTGGCGAGTTCATCTCGCCAGTGGCATCATTATCCTGGGCGCCCCGCGCGGCCAGGGCGAGCTCGATCGCGCGGCGGTTGACGGACGCAGCCAGGGCAAGAGCACGGTGACTCGATGCCCGGTGAGACTGCAGCTATTCCCGGGACCTCGATGCGTCGCGGGCCCGGGCTGTTGCGGGTGCCGCCGCAGCGTAGACAGTCTAGGCATCGTTTCGCGTTCGGTGCATTGGCTGCCTCGTGGCAGCTGGGGCTCCAACAGGGGGGTCTGGTCACCAGGCGCCTGAGTCGAGGCGCCCGATGGCTTTGGCCGAGCCCGAGACCTGCCCGTCGGCGTTGGAACGGCTGCTGGCGCTGGCGGCGGCGGTGCTTCCAAGCGTTTGAATTCTTAGAGGCCTGCTGGGCTGACTCGTGAACCTGCAGCCGGGTAGAGCTCAGCTAAGAAAGTGGCCGAACTGTCCATCGAGGCCCCGAGCGCGCGAATGCCTTGCACCGCGCGCTCTGCCAAGCGCCGGGGCCAAACCTGCAGCGCCTTGGCGCGTTGGCTGCGGCCCCAATTGACGTCGTGGTCGCGATTGTCTGGGCGCCGTGAATTGCGAAACGGCACGCGTAGATGTGGCGCATTGGCGATGACCGGAGATGGCTTCTTCGCTGGGTGGGCCCGTGGCCCCCAGCTGGCGCTGGTCGAATGCCGCCGCGCCCGCCTGCGGGCGTCGTGACGTCTCATTCTAAGGCGGCGCGGCACTGAGCCAAGCAGGGCTCGGCTGCTCGACCAGGAAGCGCACGTCCTGTTGCATCTCGGCAATGGCCACCTGGCCGCAGAGCATGGGGCGGGGGGCGCCCCCATCATGGCGTGTCCTCCCAGTTCTGATTGGCACGACTGTTGAGACCGCACGGAGGCTCAGCACTGCGGCACGATGGTGCCATAGTCGCTACAAAAATGTCGTTGCACTTGAGGTGCCTGGAAAAAGGTTGCTGTTCTTCTGGGTCGCGCACGTCGCCGTTGGTCACCGCGTCGAAGTTCTCGCCTGCCTTTTGAGCCGACGGCGCACGGCAATCTGCGGAGTGCGGGCTTCGCCTCCGCACGCCTCGCAGAGGTCTACTTCTTGACCCCACGCGGGGACCACGGCGACTGCTTGCTCTATAAGTTCGTGGCGTGGTCGACCGAGATGGGAAGCGCGGATCGGGGGCCGACCGTTGTCCCGGCCGCGAAAATTTCGGCCGAATGCTCGTCGCCGAAGCTGTGCGCCGTGTGCGTTTTTTTCTGTGCCAGTTTTGCCGCGTCTTCCGCTGTTCCCA